TGATACGGTATTGGTGGTTGGGGAGGGTTTAATGACCTGACCTGTTGTGTCCCATCGAAGGGTTGTTGGTCTTTGTAGTGCCACTATTTGTCCTTTTTGAAGGGGTTTAAACTGTGTGCTGTTCTGTTGTATCTCTCTATGAGACGTGCGTTCCGCCGGGACAGACTTATCTCACGATTTTGGGCTGCAGTTATCCACTTCGATGTGGCTTATAGAGTAGGGGTGGGATGGTATGTAGTCACGTAGTTTCGGTGGAGTAGTAGTTGAGCAGGGATAGCCCAATGTTTTGAATAGGCGTATTCCTGTATTGGAGGATGGCTCTTGCTGCACGGTTATTATCCAACGATCCTTGGGCTCCTGTGTTGCCATTTATGATTCTTTTTTGCTGTTTTGACAGCGAGCTCTGCTCGACCATTGGATTGTGGGTAACCAGCAGATGATAACCTTTGTTTAACAGCCCAGTCTTGCAAAAATTGCTTGAATGGAAGAGATGTGAAGGTGGCCCACCATCACTGCTGAGTTCCTCAGGAGCCCCGTTATTTGAAATATGTCTCGGCAAATCGAAATAATCCTTTGAGGCATTAGCTTCTCCGTGGCTCAAGTGGTATAGATTCAGCCAGCCCGTTAACCTGTCAGCGCATGCTAAGTAACCATGGTTTCCAACATGGAAGATGTCCATGACGATTTGCTGAAATGGCCAATCAGGAGATGGTGTCAAATTGATTGGCTCTTTTGGTTGACTCGGGGCAATTTTTGAGCAGAACGTACAACCTGCTCTAATGTTACGAATTGAAGCATTCATCCCGGGCCAATAAACAGATTCATTGGCACGTGCCTTCATGCCAACTTCGCCTTGATGTGCAGAATGTAGGCTATGTAATATTTTTGCGCGTTGTGAGGTGGGGATAACAATTCTTTGATCTAAGAGCACTAACCCGTCGTCAACACTTAGGCGGTGCCTCACTTCCCAATATTCGCGGATTTCAGGTGCAGTGAGGATGCGCGTTCTTTGGAATCCGTTTTGTATTTACTTGAATTAATTTTTTGTATTGCGGGTCGCTGCGTCCCGCCGTACTATTATAACGTCTGGTGAGATGAGCTCCAGGTTGTCATTTGCACCGAATGTTGCTAATAAGGTTTTTGATTTGACCCAGTCATCCATGTTGTCAGACTCTATGATGTCTGATTGAGAGGGTTCAGCAGTGAATACATTTAGGAGTGCCTGTGAGATGTCTGCTGGGTTACGAGAGACAGCATCGGAGGCTCTGTGCCATTTCCCAGGGCAGTGCTGAATGGTGAATCTGTACCTGAGGGTTTTCTCCTTTAACCTGAATAATCAGGGGTTTTGGATTTTTACTAAGGTCTCTATCTCCGAATAATCCTTTTTAGTGGTTCATGATCTGTAACCACTCTTGCCCAAAAAAAATCCGACAATTTTCCAATGTGAATTGCTGCTGCTTCGCCTTCAATGGGTGCATATCTGCGTTCAGCATCAATGCAGAATCTGGTTTGCTGAAATATAGCCGCTGAATCTTTTTGCATATGTATAGGGCTTGTTTAGTTGTTCTTCCTTGGACGATTTCCACCAGGGAGCCAACCTGACATACAAGCGTAAAGCCTCCCCATGGACGACTTTTTTGATGGAATGAGGTTGTTGATAATGAGCCCCATATTCAGAAATGGCTTAAGTCCCCCGAGACATATGGTGGCCCCACTGTCAGGAAAGATTGTCATCCTAGTGCTGTGATTTCTGGGGATATTCTTAATTTGTCTGGGATCCGGTTTTGTGAAAATGGAACAACATATGCATCAATTTCCCTTATCTGACCTGTGTCTTTAGATGTATACGTGCCTGTCGTTTGATTGAATGTGATGTGGGCGATAATGTGTCCATGGCGGCTTCATTAGCCTCTAGGCTTTTCCTGACCGCTTGAGCTGGTTTCTTTTGGCATACCCTCGATAAGTGATTGGGCTTCCCACAATTACTACATGTTTGTCCCCATGCTGGGCATTTTAGCCGGCGTTCAAGTTCCTGAGGATGCCATGCTGGTGGCTGCCACAACCTAAAGCAAGCCTGGTGGTTTTATTTTTACATTTTTTGTAGTTGCAATAGGTACTGGTACGGATCGCCTCGTTGGCTTGTGGTGAACCCTTCTGTCTGCGATGAGTTGATAGCAGAGCATTTGTATCTGAAGCACTGGCCATTGAGGTTTGGTCCCGCAATGCTGATTCAAATGCCTCAGCATGACGGATATTTTGTTCAGAGGGATTTAAGTGCCCCAGCTTTGGCCAGTAGGTCAGCCTGGGAGATGTCATTTGCTATTCCACGGATGATCTGGTCCTTGATGTATATATCAGACAGGTCATGTTCACACGAGGGCAGGTAAAGTTACAATCAACGGCTACGGCTCTGAGGCGGACAAGGTAACTTTGTATTGGCTCATCAGCATCCTGAGACATGGAGGCAAAAGCAAGGCGATGGACAATAGGACTTGACCTCTGGGTGACCAACACTTCTACCATGTCAAGTAGATTATCTGGATCAGTGGTAAAGAAGTCAGGGTGTGTGTTGATTATGGCATTTTGCACAGCCTCATCAGCACAATTGTATAGGTGAATATTAGCTTGGGAGTTTGGCATATTTGTCATCTTGGTAAAGACATCCCAGTCAATTCGAACTTCCTGAATTGCTGTGGTGTCATCTCGAGATTGAGATGAGGAGGCTTGGCTGCTAGTGCCTGAATGCGGGTTGTCTGGGTGGTGGATTCCTTAGCCTGCTTAATGATACACAGGGCTTCTCCCATTAATGTGACTCCAGCTCCTTAAGCATAGATCGATCCAGCATTTGAAGGCTCTCGATTGTCAGCTTCTCGTCCGCAAACCTTGTTGCATGAGTTTTGGCCGAGTCGGTGGATATGCCTGCTTCAATGAAGAAGAGTTCCCAATTTTCAGGTGTCATAAATCCTGTTCGCAGCTCCATGTCGAACAATCACGTGGTCAATATAAACACTCAGTTGTGGAGCAAGCTGAGTGAAGACTGATTCAACATTGAGGAAGAGAGTTATTTATGGTGCAATGGAGCATCTCATTATGCTAAAGTGGGATAGTCCATTGCTTGGGCTTTGATTGGCTGCTGGTACCTGAGTGGAAGTATTTCTATATAAATACCAGCTTAATTTCAGTTAGTTTGCGGGGTTTGTATTAAGTTACAACCTGCTTTATTTTTGTCTGCCAGCTGGACGCTAGCTGGAACTCTTACGCCGGTAAGTGTCGTTTATTGTATTGTTATTCTACAATTATTCGATTTGGTCTAAAACTCGTTTCATGGAAGTGTGCATTTCTAGTGATCTAGAACTGGCTTCAAATCCTCATTGAGAAGAGTTATCTATCGATCACGATCAAGTCATTCTTGGAGTTCGATATCAGCAGAAGCGAAATTTTGTAAGCAATGACGCAGGTTCCTTCCAAAGCTAACCGGCGCTCATAGACTGAACCGAATTTAAACTCGACTTTTATTTACTCTTATTTTGATACCCAACGAAAAAAAATTTAAATAAATAAAAAAAAAAAATTAACTTAACCACCCTTCGGAAGAGGATTAGCAGAGCTTATACGTAAAAGAACCATGCTAATAAAAGGACGGACTAATGAAATATATATATGGATATTTACGAGGATGTGCTAAAAAGTTCTCGACCGACTGACTTTCTTAGATCTGCTTTCTGACATTAGGTCACTGATAAAATCATGTTCTGTCTTGGGGTGGGTCAATCCTTTTTCATCACCCTGAACTTGATTTTTTTTAAATTCTCTTTTTCTTTCTTTTTTTCTTTTTTCATTCTCGTTGTCTTTTTATTTTTCTTCGGGTTGTTAACTTTCTCTGACGAAGGGTTGAAGATCAAATGTTTTCTTTTTAAAGAAACGCTCTTTCGCAAAAGTCCTGACCAAATACCCAAACATCAGAAACTTGGGAAACTTTTCAGCACCCACCTAATCTTTAGCCCTCTTTCTTTCCTGCAACCGGGTCTTTACCTTCTCTCTTTATATCTCTCTTCGTTCTTCATTTCTTTTTATTTCGCCATTTCCTTCTTATTTTCAAACGTGTCATGAAGGAAAAATAATAAAATTCAGGAATCCATTTTGGAACTAAATCGTTGCCGTAGGCAAAAATGCCGTCAATAAATTAAATTCGCCGAAGGAAAAAATAAATAAACAAAAAAATACATGAATAAATAAAATTAAATTTTAAAAAATGAAAGCGTCCCTTTCCTCTCCCAGAATTAATCTGCCATCATTTGCTTTCAACGAATATTGAGTGTCGAACAAGACATATTTCTGATTCAATATTTTAAATTCTAAAGACAGTTTACTTGCACAAGACAAGACAGTAGCATATCGTAAAAAGTACTGAATAGAAGCAACGGGACACTTGAAGGTTTTATTCAATGGTTAGCCTAATTTTCGGGACAGGAAATAGGACATATGTCGCATCTAACCTTCTTTTAGAAAATTTATAATCAGTTGCTTTTCGTTTTGATTTGAGAAACATCATCTTGCAATATCTTGGCAACTTTTACAGAATGTAATCGTTTCAATTCTTGGTATTAGCTTCTTCTTCTTCTTCTTTTCTTCTTCTTCTTCTTCTTTGTGCGGTGCCACTTCAGGATGTTGACGATCATGGCTCTCCACAATTTCCTGTCCTTTGTAGCTCTAAATAAATTGTGTCTTTTTGTTATCTCTCCGAAACATAGTTCTGTCATCCATTTACTCAAGCTCGCTATGTAGGTTATGCGTTATTTTTCTCTGTAGATCTTGCCTTCAAATATCTTTATGTGAGTATCCTATTTTTTTTTATGCTCTTGACTCATTATGTACCAATTTGATTTTGTAAATGTCAAACTGATGGTTAAATAATGCTTTACAGAACCGTTCTGAACACGATGTTAAGAATTAACAAAAGTAAATCAAATAAAATCAATGCTAAGACAGAAATACTTTTTATGATTCTTTGGCTGTCTTCTTCTTCTTCTTCTTCTTCTTCTCTCTTCTTCTTCTTCTCTCTTCTTCTTCTCTCTCTTCTTCTTCTTCTTCTTCTTCTCTCTTCTTCTTCTCAAAAGTGCCTCTCTACTTCTCTTTCTTCTTCTTCTCTTTTTATTTTCATTCTTCTTCTTCTTTCTTCTTCTTTCTTCTTCTTAAATTATTCTTTCTTTTTCTTCTTTTCTTTTTTTTCTCTTCCTCTCTTAAAAATCTCCTCTCTTCTTGTTTTTCTCTCTCCTTCTCCCTACTTCTCTCTTCTTCTTTTTCTTCTCTCTCTTCTTCTCTCTACTTCTCTCTTCTTCTTTTTTTCTTCTCTCTTCTTCTTCTCCTTATTCTTCTCTCTCTTCTTCTCTTTTCTTCTCTCTACTTCTCTCTTCTCTCCTCTCTTCTTGTTTTTCTCTCTCCTTCTCCCTACTTCTCTCTTCTTCTTTTTCTTCTCTCTCTTCTTCTCTTCTTCTTCTCTTTTTCTTCTTTTTTTCTTCTTCTTTTCTTCTTCTCCTTCTTTTTTCTTCTTCTTCTTTTTCTTTTTTCCTTTTCTTTCTTCTTCTTTCTCTCTTCTCTTCTTTTTTTCTTTTCTCCCTAAATCTTTATCTTCTTTTTTTTCTCTTCTTCTCTTTAAATTCCTCTTTTTCTTCTTCTTTTCTTCTTTTCTTCTATTTTCTTTGTTTTCAAAATCTTTACAATCTTGGCTCTCTTTTTTCTTTTTCTTCTTCTTGAAATGATTTTTTTTTTTTTTTTTATATCTCCTTTCTAAACCCATTCCATTATCCATTAACACAAACTCTTTCTTCTTCGTTGTGCTCTGTTCATTCATTGATATTCATAGCTCTCCACAATTTCCTCTCCTTTGTAACTGTTAATAACACGGACATTAGAACATTCTATTACAAACGACTGTAATTTTGACGAATATCTTAACGTGTACATTCTGAAAAATATCTACAATCCACTGATTGGCAACCCTTGAAACGTATGATGATAGTAACGTATGAAAAGTACTAATTTCCCACCCCGGGAGAAGAAACAAAATGTCGACAGAGTTCTTTTGGTAACCTTGTACAGGGCTGAAATAATATTCTCTGAATAAATTAGTTATTACTCTTTTTTTTATTCTAGTAATGGCTGACCTATAATCTACTGAGTCGTCTTTAATCTTCTGGATTAAGAGCTCCCGTAGACGAAGATTATGTCTAAATTGGTTGATGAGGAAGAATCTATTATTGGTCAGGCGCATTCTGTTGTTTTTGTTCCGAAAGAAACACAGAGCAAAATTCCTCATTAAATAAAACTTTCCCCGGACGAACGTTTTTGGTTTTCAGATTAACTAAAGGCAGAAAATGCGTTTTTCGGCCATAAAATGACAATAATTCCCGGTATGTCAAGCAAGATACCATTTATTTACAGTGTAGATTTGTGGAATTGGGGATAAGGCTTCAGATCTGAAAAAAAAAGTGAAGTGTGAGGAATATTGATTTAAGAGGATTCTGTAGCATTGTTCATTTTAAATTATACAGAAACTTGTATTCGAAATAACCTTAGTATAACGGGATAATGATAAATTGTTATCTATCTATAAATATCTATCTATCTATATATATATATATATATATATATATATATATATATATATATATATATTATTTAAAAATATCTATTATCTATCTATCTATCTATCTATCTATCTATTCAAATTTTCCAAATCAATCTGTCATATCTTTCTGTCTCTATCTGTCTCCCTCAGTAAATTCATATATATATATATATATAAATATTGAGCGGGGTTGAACTTTTTAAAAGTCTTTATTTTGCAATCAACGCCATCAAATCCTTATCATGACATTATATGTTGAAAAATTTGATCTATTTTTTTAGTGATGATATACTTATGTTATAATATATATATATATATATATATATATATATATATATATATATATATATGATCTTTTCATATCTATCTATCCTATTATCTTCCTTTATATATATATATATATATATATATATATATATATATATATATATATATATATATATATATATATATATATATATATATATATAGATATAGAGAGAGAGAGAGAGATGATAGATAAATTGATAGGATGGGATAAACCAGGATTTTGATTTTGCCATATATGGTATATTATGGAATTTATTTTGAAAAATTACTTGGATAATATAAATGAGGAAAAATAAATATGGCCAGAATGAAATAGCTAGATAGATAGCTATGTACAGAATGAGATAGATGGAGAAAACAGATAATAAAGAAAATCATAGACACACATATATATATATATATATATATATATATATATATATATATATATATATATATATATTGTGTATTCAGGTAGCAATCCTTCATTTATACACGTTTCATTAAAGACGGCTGAAAAGATAAAAAGGATTAAGCATTTTATTTAATCTTTCTTGTGTTCGAACAAAATGTTTTTCTTTTGGAGACAGAACTGTAGAAACTGTCCAAATGTTCTGTAATTCAAGCGCTTTCCGCTAAATAAAATTTTACCGATTATCAAAAATATGATTTTATTTTGTCAGTTTAATTGAGTGTGTGTGTGTTGTGTGTATGTTTTTAGTGTTAAAAAGATATTTTATTTTCCGAACACAGTTAGCCCATTGTGGCCGTGTTCGTAATTAATATTATTAAATGTTGACTTTTTCTTTTTTATTATTAAGGCTTCCTTTATTTTTAATCATTTTTTGCATGTGGAAGGGGTTATTATGTTTGTATTTTTTACGAGTATGTCTCGGATGGTGTCTGGTAAGTTTGTCAGTGTATTTAAATGGGTTCTAATAGAACTGTTGTCGAATAGGTGTAAGGTAAGTCGTCTGGATAGACATGTAGATGTGTGACCGATGTAATTATTTATGAATTTGGTTTGATCAGGAACACAGTTACTTAAGGGGCATTTGAACTCATAGATAAAGTCCTTAACTTTACCAACGGACTTAGTCAAAAAAAAAAAATAAAAAATAAAAATAAACTACTATTCTTAGATTTTCTCGTAGATTATAGGAACAACATTTTTATCTAAAGAAAAAACACTAGCATTTAACATTAAAAGATGAATGACGACCCAGAAAATAAATAGCGCTGATAAAGAAAAACATCCTAAAAAAATTCATCGTCTCGACTACTCGAAGAACTGAATAATATAAAACAGACACTAATTAAGAATGGCTTCCCTAACCACATTATAGACCATCAAATTAGACTATTTCTCCCTCAAAGTAAATAACTACGATAGCGGACATATAGTCACAAAATTATATAAATATATGAACAGACCAAAATAGCTAGCTAGCTAGCTAGATAGATAGATAGGAACAGGCCAAAATAGATAGATAGATAGATAGATAGATATGAACAGACCAAAATAGATAGATAGATAGATATGAACAGACCAAAATAGATAGATATGAAGAGACCAAAATACATAGATAGAAAGATAGATATGAAGAGACCAAAATAGATAGATAGATAGATAGTTAGATAGATAGATAGACAGATAGATAGATAGATAGATATGAAGAGACCAAAATAGATAGATATGAAGAGACCAAAATAGATAGATATGAAGAGACCAAAATAGATAGATAGATAGATAGATAGATAGATAGATATGAAGAGACCAAAATAGATAGATAGATAGGAACAGACCAAAATAGATAGATACTAACAGACCAAAATACATAGATAGATAGATAGATATGAACAGACAAAAATAGCTAGCTAGATAGATAGATATGAAGAGACTAGATAGATATATATGAACAGAGAGAAATAGATAGATAGATAGATAGATAGATAGATTTCATAAATAAATATGCTAAAAAAAGGATGGAAAAGGAAACCTCCATTGGTATCTTAGTTTCAATATATAAACACACTCATCTATCTATCTATCTATCTATCTATCTATCTATATATATATATATATATATATATATATATATATATATATATATATATATTTAAGCATTTAACCACAAGCAAGGCTTATTTTTAGCCACTAGGACGCAATGGGTTACAGAAGATTTGGAGCAAGATTTTATAGGAGTGATAGAGGAAAGGATGAAGAGAAGGATTTAAATAGATCAAGACAACTGGAGATGTCGATTGACATTAGATTTGAATAGTTGGAGATTATAGCTCTTAGGGAAACTGGAATAGGGAAGGGAGTTCCACAGGCGAGTGGCCTGAGTGGTGCGAACACATAAAGCTATTGGAGTAGAAGAGACATTTAGTGGTTTCGACAGTGAAAGGGTGGGAGAGAGGATATATATATATATATATATATATATATATATATATATATATATATATATATATATATATATATATATGTGTGTGTGTGTGTGTGTTTGTGTGTGTGTGTTTGCTTTTCAGAATTCATACATCGATATATATATATATCTGTGTTTTTATCACTAGTGGACGAATGACATGAGAAACCAAATCAGTTCTTCTCGGTTTTTGTTATGCAACAGACGATTCCGCAGATTACTGAAATAATGTTGCTACAAGTCAATGGAACATTCGTTGAATTTAGAATAATCACTTCTCGCCGTCGTCTAAAGGTGCCATCCAACCGTCTGACAATAATTCTTGAATAAAGCAGCCTTGCAATCCACTTAAAATAATGCAGTTTCAACTTTCCCTGTCTTCTTCCTCCTCATCATCCAGTCTCTCTCACTTTTCTCTCTTTCAGTCAATTAATCCCTCCCTTTCTCTCTATCTTTCTCTCATCGTATATATATATAATCTATCTTTCTCTCCCCGTATACATATATCTTAAATAACAACTTAAAAGAGACTGTTTGACCAACACAATGACTGACCAAAATTCATGTTAAAAAAAAAATGTAAACTACAGACAAAAGTTCATTTTCTCCATCAAGTCATTTATTTCTGTAGTTCACTGCTACCAGCAAGAAGACATTTTTTCTCCTGATGATGGCCATTTTGGCCGAAACTAGTCGAGGAATCTAAATGAAATAATAATAAAACGAACGAATATACAACGCAGTGTGTCTAAAGATTTTAATTTTTTAATATTTTTTATTGTTCAATATATATAAATATAAAACGTCATCCACTGACAGACTATTTCGCTGTTTCACAGCTCATCAGTGTGGCTAGACATCCGGTTGCCTCTAGCTAGAGTCGAAACCCGCCTGAATTGGTGTCAGTCGGAGATTCTAAGCATTAAGACGTCGGCGCCCGGCAGGGGTGAAAGTGGATTTTTAGCGTATTTATTTTTAGAAACACGTCCAGTGACCGACAGTGACTCAATTCGCATCTGCGAAGAGTCTCGCTATATAGCTATAATAGTCACTGTTTACCAACCCACACCTCGTCCCCAGAGAGCTCAACTGAAATTGATATTTCAGGAGCCAATATAACGTCATCCACAGACAGACTGTTTCGCTGTTTCACAGCTCATCAGTGTGGCTAGACATCCGGTTGCTTCTAGCTAGGATCAAAACCAGACTGAATTGGTGTCAGTCGGAGATTCTAACCATTAAGCGCACGGTAGGGATGAAAGTGGATTTTTAGCGTATTTATTTTTAGAAACAGGCCCAGTGACCGACTCGCCTCCTAGCATGTTAGAAATTTACGGTTTCCCCTTCCCCACTCCCTGTGAGGGTATTACTGGTTTGAAACCTTAAAATGATCGTTTATTCTCCAGTTAAC